TGAGCAACTGCTGTGGAGTCTAAGTCATGCAGAGATCTGGTTTAATTTTTTTTAAATGCTTTTTAAAATTTAAATCCTGTCCTTTTGTTTATTTTTTTTCTCTCTCCAGGTAGTCACTTAAGCAGTTTTATTTTTTTATTTTATTTTTTTTTAATTTCTTGGTGTTTAGGCACACTGATCAAATGTTTACTTTTACATTTGCCTACGTATGATCAAATTCACTTCAGGGTTCTGTGTTTATTTAAATATTTACTTTTTATTTATGTAAATTAAATTACTATTGTGTTGAAGGATGTTCATGTAAATGTTTTTAATGTGTTAAATAAAAGTTTTCGATGTGATTTTAAAGTCTACATCAAAGGTCTGCAAGCCATTTATCTGTTGTAATCTGCAGGGAGAAAAAGGTTCTCTAGTATTTTCATGTCTTTGAAACCAAAAAATCAAACTCCGATTTGAGATACAATTGAGTAAAGGAACGTGATTGAGATACTAAAATTACAAGAGTACGTAATAGCAAGATGGTTTTTGTGGGTCTGTTATGCTTGGTTTTTACATGGTAAATACTGATCAAGAAAAGTAAGACCTGTACACTGTGAAGTAAATGCCCAATCAACCTTAATTAGTACAATACAAAAAGGTTTCAAATCAAAGTTCAAACAATGGTACTGCTTAATCTAGACAACAAACCAATACAGCCTAATGACACCAGCAATAATAGATTAGGATCATCTGAAGGGTTTGTTGATGGCTTTAGATTGCACTTTTTGATTGGCTTTCTTTTGCTTCTGTTGCATTTCTGCATCTCTAAAAAGGAAAAGAATACATGGAAATTAATAATAAATGTCCCACATTCCCAGATTTTAACCTACAATTTCCGATTCTCATACTAGCAGAAACTAAGCAATGCATTAATTAGTTTCTTCCTCTTTATTAAAAGAAAGCTGCATCTAGCTCAAGTTCTGTTAGTGTGTTAGGATTGTAGGTTACCTCTGCTTTCTGGCAGCAGCAGATAAACCATTTTTCTTGCCTTTTTGTGTATCACTTTGCTGCTTGGCATTCTGCTTGCTGATTTCCCCTTAAAGAGGACACGGTGCTGAAATTAAATCTGATCTGACTGACACTGCTGATCTGAAGGTTTTAATCTCCGTGTAACCCTATAAAGCCTGTACTGTATCATAGTTGATGTTTTTTTTTTTTTTTTTTTTTT